TTTCTAAAATGAGTCCTGGATCATTTTACTGGGGATTAGAGAGCAAGATTTGGGCACTAGGTGTGCTTGTTGCTACTGGGGTATCATTGCTTCTAGGCTTTCTCACTAACAAAAACCAAGGGAATAGATGTGTATATACTCAACAATAGGAAAGCAACCCATGCATATACATATATCTAAAAATATTTCTACATGTAACCGGCTCTATCTATATTAAGCTAAAGCCAAGTTCATACTAATGTCTCCAACTCTAATTCATCAGCACAGGGATCATTCTAGCCTCCATTTGCTTGCCTCCAGCCTCTCATTTCAACAGTGAGAAACTCGGCTCCCACCAACCACCATCCCTTTACTTAATTGTTCGGTTCCAGTGTCCATGTATAATGGTTTCTGAATTGTCAACCCGTGGGAAAACACTTTATCAGCTAGAGTATAGCGCTTATGCACAATTCCTTTTTCCTTTATTTTTACAGATTCCACTCATTTCCAGTTACTCAGATCAAAACCTTTTCCTCCATCTTTCTCAGTGACGTCATTCAACACATTTGCAATAGAGTTAGTTAGCTTATTTTATCACTGTCTCTTTTCCATCCTGGGATCCCAGGATATCCTAATTGAATTTTTAAATTTGCATATATTGAGGTCTAACCTTTGTGCTGTACAAGTAGGTGTTGACAAATGTATAATGTCATAGGTCTTTGGACTGGTTTCACTGCTCCAGAAAGTTCCCTGGGCTTCACCTCTCCCACCCTCCCTGACCTTGAAGTTATGGCAGCCATGAATCTGCTTATAATCTTTACAGTTTAACCTTTACTAGAATGTGATATAAATGGAGTCATACAGTGTGCAGCGTTCTCTGGCTTCTTTCACTTAGCAACATGCCTTTAAGATTCATTCAGGTCTTCTCCTGGCCTGGTAGCTATTTTCTCTCTCTCTGCCGAATTAGTATTCCAATGGTATGAGTATGCCATTTCTTATGTAACCATTCAGCTACTGAAGGACATTTTGGTTGCTCCTAATTTTTGCTGATTATTCATGAGGCTGCTATGAACATCTGTGTGCAGGTTTTGGTGTGGACACTTTAAAAACTCAGTCGGATAAACACCTAAGAGCAGAGCGCAAGTGACAAGCGGCACAGTAAGACTGGTTAGCTGTACAAGAAACTACCAGTCTCCCAAAGTGCCCGCATCATTTTGCATTTCCACCAGCAATAAATGAGAGTCCCTGTTGTTCTGCATCCTTGTCAACATTTTACTACTGCTAGTTTTAAAATTTTAACCATACCAATAGGTGTGTAGTGGTATCTGTTTTAATTTGCATTTCCCTACTAACAAGTGATGTTGAGCATCTTTTCATATGACGATTTGTTAACCATACTTCTTTGTTGCAGTGTCCGTTCCCAGATTTTGCCCATTTTTAATTGGTTGCTTGCTTTCTTATTGGTGAGTATGAACCATTCTCTGTATATTTTAGGTCTAAGTCCTTCATCAAATATGTGTCTGTGGCTTTTCATTTCTTAACAGTGCAGAGCAATCAATTATTAAGTCCAACTTATGATTTTTTTCATGGATGTTTTTGGTGTTCTATCTAAAAAAATCATCACCAAATCAAAGGCCACCCATATTTCCCTTATGTTTTCTTCTAGAAGTTTTGTAGTTTGCATTTTACAGGTAGGTTGTTGTTTTTAAATCAGATTTGAGTTAAGTTTTGTGAAAGGTGAGCCAGTGTTCATTTTTTCTCATAAGGTTCTCCTTAAAAGACTACTCCAGGGCGGCAAAGTTCCTGGAGTTTTAGCATAAAAAACATTAACAGTCAACAGCCCTTCATAGCTTTTGAAGTTAATATTCAGAGGCATCAATAAGAGAGGTGTAATGTCCAGATTCAGGGAGAAGCTCTTTCCTTAGTAATCCGCCGTGGCCAGACCACATGTATAGTTCAGTAAGCTCTGCGAGGAGCAGGGAGGTGGCCAGCTTGATTAATAGTGACATTGGTAAACTGGGATTCATCTAGAGCAGTGGTTCTCAACCTTCCTAATGCCGCGACCCTTTAATACAGTTCCTCATGTTGTGGTGACCCCCAATTTCATTGTTACAAATTGAACATAATTATAGCATAGTGATTAATCACAAAAACAATATGTAATTATATATGTGTTTTCCGATGGTCTTAGGCGACCCCTGTGAAAGGGTCATTCGACCCCCGAAGGGGTCGCGACCCACAGGTTGAGAACTGCTGATCTAGAGAGTGACTCCCATGATGAGTACAACTGCTATAGCTGCATTCATGATCTATCTATATGTCTATCTCTTTCATCCCTAACACTGAACAGCTTGTGGGCATTATGAATGTCCAGGGCCCAGCACTTAGTACTTGCTCAATAAACATTTAATTAGTGAGTTCAGTGAAGAAGTTGAGGATGTTTAATGTAGAAAACAATAATTCCTCAGGTAATATATCCCTTTGAGTATCTCTTGGGAAGAGGAGGCATGATAATTATCATCAAATACTTGAAGGGCTGTCATACAAAAGAGGGATGAGAAGCAAGGCTGAAGTCAGAGAGCTACAGAATTTCAACTCATTATAGATAAGAGGAGGCTGCCTTATGGTGAGTCTGCAATCACTTAAAACGTTTAAAAGCCTCAATGAATGTTTGTGAGGGACATCAGGGGAGGCGGTTTCTGCATTTAGAAGGAGAGTGAATGAACCACTTTGTGTAACTTTCAACTCTGAAGTTCTAGGGCAGCAGTTCTCAACCTGTGGGTCGTGACCCCTTTGGTGGTCGAACGACCCTTTCACAGGGGTTGCCTAAGACCATCCTGCATATCAGATATTTACATTACTATTCATAACAGTAGCAACATTACAGTTATGAAATAGCAACGAAAATAATTTTATGGTTGGGTCACAACATGAGGCACTGTATTTAAAGGGCCAGAAGGTTGAGAACCACTGTGGGGTCTAACAGATCTAGTAGAGGGTCAAATTAAGAACTTCAGAGCTCTAAGAACAGGAATAATTATGGTGTTCCATTCCATTAATAATTCAAAATAAAAACAAAACAATATTATAAAACGTGATAGTAATTCCAATGAAGTTTGTGTGTTCCAGTGATTACTTGTCTCTTTTTAAGATAAATATCGACTGTTTCTTTAATTCTTTCTTTCTCTCTTTTGTGATGCTGCTTTGCAGGACTCTACACAACTGATTATTTCTGCTTATTTGCCCAATAGTGATTTTCTGATTCCTGGTAGAAGACAAGGAGTACACGACTTCTTTGGGAATCATTCATAAAATAGAAATCCCTGTTCCAAAGAAACCCCATGCAAAGGCAATAAAGCTGATGGTCTATTTATTTAAACTGTCCATTTTTAAGAGCCACTAGAGGCCCGATGCATGAAATTCATGAAAGAGTAGGCCTTCCTTTCCCTGGCTGCTGGCACTGGCTTCCCTCTGGTACCCGGAACCCGGGCTTCCCTCACAGCCCGGGCTTTGTCCAGAAGGTAGTCTGGGAGGATGTCCGGTCTAATTAGGATATTATGCTTTTATTATTATAGACTAGAGGCCCGGTGCACAAAATTCGTGCATGGGGGGGGTCCCCTCAGCCCAGCTTGCACCCTCTCTAATCCAGGACCCCTTGGGGATGTCTGACTGCTGTTGGAAATCCCTCTCACAATCCAGGACCACTGGCTCCTAACTGCTCACCTGCCTGCCTGCCTGATTGCCCCTAACTGCCCCCCCCCTGCAGCTTGGTCACCCCTTACTGCCCCCCCGCCAGACTAGGTGCCCCCAACTGCCCCCCCATGAGCCTGATCACCACTCACTGCCCCCCCTGCGGCCTGGTCGCCCCCAACTGCTCCTCCTGCAAGCCTGGTCACGCCATGCAGCCTGCTATTTGGTCATTTGGTCGCCCCTCACTAACCCCCTGCCGGCCTGGTCGCCCCATGCAGCCTGCTGCTCAGTTGTTTGATTGCCCCTCACTAACCTCCCTGCCAGCCTGGTCACCCCACGCAGCCTGTTCGGTTGTCCCACACAGCCTGTTTGATCATCCGTTCGGTTGCGATGGTCACTTAGGCTTTTATATATATGGATAGCAGCAATAATAAATCTGGGGACCATGTAGTTCACAGTATAAAATATTATGCATTTACAAGGCTTGTCAGTACTAAAACCACTAACATTCATAATGACAATCCAGAGAAGCGATGCTGCACAAGCAGTCTTACCCAAAGATGAGATTATTTATGTTCCATCTAGTTTTAATTTTAAGTTTTTTTCATTTGTACTCTGATTCTTTGAAAATTGGCATATGTGCCAAGATATATGATTACACAGAACATTTTATGCCTTGATCATATGTGGTAATAGGATTTAAGGCAAACATTAATTTTGTTATGATTAATAACTTAAAAATGCTGCACTAACTTGTTGACTGTATTTATCATGTGAATTCTTGTACTTAAGTTAGTTTCACAATCTCCTCTCATGGGATCTTAAGCTTTTAACAAATTTAGAGGTTACAATTATTTCTCAAGAATTCTGTGAAAAACTAAATATTAAAATGAATGAAAACTGACTTATCACACTTTTGTGTTTTGAAAATTAGTCCTCTGATGTAGCTGCTTCATCTTTATTGTTACTTTAACCCTGCAAGAAACCTTTTATTTATGGTTATCATGTGAAGGGGTGAGAGAGTGAGCATTTTTTCTATAAATAGTGTGAGGCATTTGCTCTCCCAGCCCGGGGTGTTATTACTACCCTCTGCAACTGGGCTGACATGTTCTCATGATGAACTGACCTCCATAAGAGTTCCCAAGTTACAGCAGAAAAAGTACAGAGAAACCCTGCCAGGCCTTGTTACGAGGACAAGCCCTTAAGAAAAATAAACTGCTCCCTGGGGGAATGGCACTGGTTTAAAGATTTGAAATACACCCACAGTGAACCATGATTATTTAAAAAAAATAATTACATACAGTTTTAAAAAGCAAATAAAAAATACTTACTGGAACATCAACATATTTTGCAGCCGCTTTCACCTTAAGTGGAAAAGAGATAATTATGAGAATTATATTCTTAGTTGCGAATAAGGACTATGATGAGTCAAAAGACAGCAGAAAAGAACGCATGCAAATACTTACAGTGAATGACAGAATGGATGAAAAGAAAGTGCCTTCATCGTATCTCGACAGCTTAGACAACACCCCTTCCAACACTGAAATAAACTATAGACAGTTTATGGTGAGTATTTAGAAAATACAAACTAGTAACAGAGCAAATGATTCCTGGGACAACTTCTGCCACAGCACAGAAATCCATGAAGTATAAACTGACAGCTGAGGGGCTGACTTGTAATGTTTGCTCTTTCATTTTGAAGATGAATTCTAAGGTCCTTTTTATTTGCTGGAAATCACGCAGACATTTTTAAAGATAGGAGAATAATACATAATAAGAGTTGGGTCACTATATGTGAACTAACTTAAACCTTTAGTAAATAACTTTAAATTTAAAATAATTTTCAACTTCACTATAGATGGTTAGAAGTCCTCATCACGATAAAAAATTATAACTCTGTATGAGCATGGATGTTAACTAGACTGTGATCATTTCACAATAGCTACAAGTATCAAATCATTAGGTTGTACACCTAAAACTAATATAAATCAATTATACTTCAATGAAAAACATATAGAAGTTATAAGTAATGATAGTCAAGCATAATCAAATTCCTTCTACCATATATCACTTGGCCATTCCGTAATGTTTTCTATGTATAGGAGAGGTTGAATAAAAAAAGAACAGATAATGATGTGTAACATTTGGGGCTCTTGTAACATTAAACCGAAGTCTGACATTAGTTAATAAGCATTTAGCAAGCAGTTCTAATTGTATATATAAGGATGAACCCCACTTTCAAAAGCTTACAAAGAAGTTGGGGAGCTAATACAGATATACACACTACAGGCTACAATAGGAAGAACTTAGCTGGAGAATATATATATACTGATTCTGTCACTTACTACTCTGTGAGCTCAGGCCAACCACTGCACCGATGGCTTTCTCCATCAGTTAAATTCTGTGTGCACGTGTGTGTGAATGTGCGTGTGCATGTGTGCGTGTGGTTTGGGGGGACATATAAAACTAAAATTAGTTTCAAAAGGGTTTTACATTTCTAAAATTCTATATTTCTATGACATGAAAGTTAAGACACATATACTGTAACAGTTAAAATGTGGCGATGTCTTTCATTGAGTGGAAATGTTAAGATCTGGCATAAAGATAAATAAGAGATATAAACAAGGATCTATGACCCTACCTCTTTCCTCTTTAGAACTAAAATAATATGTACTATTGACAAATTACACACTCCCAAAGGGAAAATACTGACAAGGTTTTTTAAACATGAAAAGGGAAATGAACAAAGGCTGGTTTTTGTTCACATAGCAGCTTCTTCAACAAAGTGATAATAGTTCGAGGGACACAGCTTATTGGTCTCTGGTGACTAGAGAGCTCGCCGAGAGCGCACAGGAGATAATCTTTTCTCCGTGGCTGGTCAATTACTGCAAAATAGTTTATGCAAAAGGAACAAAAACTTCCCTATAGGTTTCTCCATCACATCATGTGCGACATGATGTAAGAACACAGAAACAAAATCATGCAAACTGCCGCCTGAACTTTATTTTTAAAGAAGGAGGATTATGTAGAGCTGGCTAGTTATCCTAAGGGATACAAACAGCAAAAAACACAAAATTATAAACTGCTCACAACTAAAAGTCAATTTAGCGCTTTCCTCCTGCCCATTAGGATTTCTTACCAATCACAGCTGGCTAACTCAACTTGATGTGGTTCGCAAAGACCCAGAAGACCAATACTCCAGGGCTATGTCAGACCAGGGGAAGGGAATTCCGAGCTTAATGGCCCTCTGTGGAAAATGCCTCGTCTCTTGTAACTCAAATCTTAAGAGCCAGTGTGTGCTGGGTGATCTCATTTGCCACAAGGAGAGAGACAATTGCTATGGTTACCAGCCAACCTGAACCGTGGAAGGCTCTGGCATAGCACCTGGTTCTCGGTGTTTTCAAGTGAGTCTATGTTTACACATGTGAGCCATGCTGAGGGACAAGGCAAGGCAGAGGCGAGAGCCCTGTGGTTGGATTCAGAGGATCTGAATTCAATTTGAAGCTTTGCCACTCTCTGGCTATGAGACAGCAGTGTAGACATTTAGCTTCTGTGTATTTATCAGTAAAATGAAAAAAAAATAACAGCTGTTCTGCCTGTTACAGGAATGGTAAAAAGATCCATGGAGATGATTTATGTGAAAGGACTGTAAGAATGGCAAAATAGGAAATAAATGCAAAGAATTAATCCTCTTGATATAATTAGCTAAATCTCTATCCATTATATAAGTCTACAAACCTAAATATGTTAAGTCACACGTTAACGGGGGCAGCTTTAGGATTGTTTAGTGATGAGGAGTAATAATGAATTTGGTCATCAGTGAATGGTTTCCATACAATTGAATGATATCTAGGAAGGTACAACAGGGTTGAGGCTGTAAGTCAGAAGCTCCGCATTGGAATCCCATCTGTTTTTAGGGCATTTGGCTGATGTTAGAGGAGCAAGGCTTCCAACCCAAGTGGTCTGGCTCCAAAACCCATGATGTTTACCATCCTCCTACAGAGTTGTAAGCATTAAATGAGATGACATAAGTAATGTGTCCAGCACATAATAGGTGCTCAATAAATGTCACTTTGTTGTAATAATTTTTACTGAGCACCTAATATGAAAAATAAAAAAAAATATGAGTCTTAGCCCTCTCCCTCCAGGAACATACAGACTAGTGGGAGAGACAGACACGTATACGATTGTTCACCACGCAAGGCTGGAAGTGTCAAGGGCCAATGTAGACGGGCAAACAGTGTAACTGAAACTAGAGGAGGGAAAGAATGACTGACTGGAGGATATGGCTAAGCTTCCTTTACAAGGTGACACAGGGGCTGAGCCACAGGGTACCAGAAAAACGGTGGATACAATGACACCTGGGAAGCCCATTGGCACATGAGCCTAGGGCAGAAGTTCCCCTGCTTGGCAGCCTCTCTGGCTCATCTTCTCTTCAGAGTACGAAGCAGCCTTGGGTTATATCCAAGTCAGTCCTACGCCTGGACCGGTGTCACAGCATTCTTTGCTTCCATTTGAGTAATAGGGGAGAGCCTGTTCTTGGGTTTCCCCCAACCCCAAATGATCTCTGGGGAGGCATGACTCCAAGGACTTACACGGCAGTGAGCAGCAACTGCACCTCTGGGATCAATGAGGTGAGCCGTGCAGTTCCTACAGGAAGGTTATTCTTTTGTAAAACTAAACTCTATTAGCATCGAGATTGACTATGACTAATAACAATATATTTCCCATCTGGCTTTTAATTGCACAACACAGCAAGATTCCAAAGAAATCCAGTTAAATGCTGGGTTTGGTTGCTGTGTCTTTAACTGCTTCCTGTGAACTTTCTCTGTGCAGCTCAGGGAGTATGTAAATACTCACGGGCCTGCCTTGCGCACTCTGCTCTCCGAGGGTGTCCGGTTGGAATGAAACACCGTCATCTCCTTCTTCCCCTGCCCTTTATTGTGGATGCCATTTACCGGGTTTGTTGGAATAATATTTAACACATAAACTCTGTCTGGGTAATTACCAACTTTGCCTCCCCATGCATACTCTCAAGGCAATGAGAGATGAAAACATTTTGAAATGACTGGTAGAATGAAACGTAAAGCAGGCCACAAGGCATGCTGGCTTAAATTTTCTGTGGAATTTTAATAGGGTGTAAGATTCATTTTCCTACATGTATGGAGAGTAGAAACTAAGTCTAAGAAGTGATTTGTGAGGATTCTAACTATAGCGTGGTGGTTCGAAACACATACACTTCTTGCCTTTTTAGCTGCATTTCATGAAGTAAACAAGGGATATCTCTATCATTTATACTGCAAGTTATAAAACCTTCCACAGAAAAGAGATTCATCCATAAACAAGACTGATCTTTTCTGGAGGGTGTTTTGCTTTGAGTGGGGCTAGAGATATCTATAAGCAGATGCTTCATATTTGTTTGGTAATATCAGGACTAACTAGCAATATTAAAAATCCACATGGAACCAGAATACCATGGACTGGAACAAAACAGGTTTCCTTCCCTGAATGGGAATATTAATGTTCTGATGAAATGCAACTGTCTCTTCCTCATCTTTTTTTCCCCAAATGTGAATCCATTTCCTCTTTGAGCCTTTGATCTAATAACTCCTAAGAAGTCTTTCCAGCATATCCACCTCGGAATTAAGGATGGGTAGTATCTGACAGCATGGATTTACTCACGACATACCTTGCTCGGCAAGTTTCTTAGACAAATTCCAAAATATCACACCCAGTCCAGATGCCGGTGAATTCTCCATACTTTTCTCATTGTTTTCTTTCCCCTTGCCCCATAAATAGAATGACTTATATTAATTTACTTTCCTAATGGCTCCTAATAGTGTGTTATGCCTTCTAAGCTCATACTTGAGTTGAAAGTTGTCTTCTGAGCATATGGACTTGATCCAAAAAGTAAATTTAATCTAATTAATCTCACCAGGTTGAGCTGGAAATACTATTAATTACATCATCTAGGCAGTTAGGTTGGATTTGTTCTCTGTCCATCTTATTCTTAAGAGTAATTCAGGGGGAAATATTCTAGGTTATCAAAAAGAATATGAGGGTGTGTGTTTACACCTATACAACTATATATTTATGTCTATATCTATATGTATTTAGTGACAGAGCATAAAATGTGTATTCTTTTTTAAGTTCCTTTTTGCAATAATTGATGAGTTAGAAAGTTGAAACTTCCTCTCAGGGACAGATCAGCGTATAGTTAAAGCCATATTCCACAAGTCTCTGTGACTTTCATACAGGAATTTCATACAGAAAGGAATACCACAACAAACACATTACATTGAAGGACTGATCACTATGCAATCAGCCCTGGACATAAAACAAATTGTATGAAAACATGAATGTGAAATAATAAATTATTACTAGAAAACAGAGTTATTTTTAAAAGAATAACAATGGCAAGTAAAGCCAAAATTAAGTATAAACAAAACATCAAATATTGTTGAGAAAGAGTGTTCAGATGTTGCTTGTAACTTTCTTAAAATTTGAACTTTTCTTGCATCCTTTAAACTACTATTTCTCAATGAGGTATATAGAAGCATAACACAGATATTTCTAAAAATTCTCAGAAATAGAAAATATTTTTAAATTTTGATTTTAGAAGGTGAACAAATAGTACATTACCTTTGAAACTAGCAGTGAAAGGAATTCTTTTACAGTGTTGTCAATCAAATCATCTATTTTGGAATGGTACTGTTGCTAGATATTAAGAGACAAAGATGCATTAGTTGATGTGGACACAAAACTTTAAAGCTACTAGTTATGACATATCCGATTTACTTAATATGATCATCTTGAACATTAGAAAAACAAAACTTTGAAAATGATCTACACTTTTTGCATTGTTGTTTGGAAATTTTCCCATGTGCTTTGTTGAGTTAAGCAGCTAATGGGGTTATTATATAGATGAATTGAGTTCTTATTCTTATTCAGACGGAGGAATGTGAAGGATACTTTTTGTCTTCTCCTCTATAATTAAGGTGGCCATGTATTTTTCTAAAGGGTTGGTTTAGCTGGAGAAGCAAAAAGACTAGAAAAAGATTTAATTAATACAGCATTTCATGTCTGACAACTCTCATTCATAAGATATTTTAAATGTGCTCTAGAAATAAAATGAGCTCCCAATTGTTCACTCTAAAAGGACGTTTTTGTCGGTGCGGAGAGCAGCAGTTTATACAATTCTCACAATATGCTTAAGCAAGGGCAAAATTAAAATTTCATCAAGAAAGGTGAATAGATGGTAACAAATTAATAGGCCATAAAAGATATAATAAAACGGCACTCACTCCCCATCATTTTATTACTGCTTCCTCATGAAAAAGGCACCTTTAAGTAAATGCAAAAAAAAATAAATTCTATTTAAAATAAACCTGAAAGACACACACACACTCTCTCTCTTTTTTTTTGCTTTCTTTAGAAAATACTAGAGAGTTCCATTCTTAAATTAGCAGGAGCCTCAGCTTCTACGGCGGCATGTGAAGGCACATTCACTTAAACAGTAATTCTTCCTTTAGAAGCATTTATCTGACAGCTGATTGTCCCCAGGAGCCACTTCACAGAAAATGTGACTTGTAAAGACTAACCCTATCTTGATGGTTCAAGGCTTCTTGGAATAGCTAACATAATGCATAGAGTAAAAGTACTCAGGTCAGTGTAAACACTAGACCAACTTAGCTGCTGGTTGAATGGTTTCCTAAGATGTAAGTTTTTGAAAGCTATTTTTTTTTCCTTCTGAAAACATGTCTCAAAGTTTCCATACAGAACAAAACATCAACTGAGCTCTGCTTTGGAACACGCAAAAAATGACTCCTCCCCGTAGGCTCTGACAGATACAAGTGGTAGTCTACCTGCATACACAGTAAAGAAAGGAAGCATGATTTTGGAGCGTGTGAATGATTTTCTCTCTCTGCCTGTGTGTGTATTGAGAAGTGTTCTAAAATCAACAGACATATATAAACGTGGCACTTCCCAGGCATGTATTTTGCCCAGTAAAGTGAAGTACTAAGTGTCCCTCTCACTTAAAGCCTTACATGTCCCAACCTTGTGCTCCCGGAGGACAAATGGAACAGAAACATAGAGGTAGCTTTCTATTGCATTACAGGACACTTTTGCTTTCAGAACAACTTGGAGAGAAGCAAAAGGGGAGAGAAAAATAAAGGGAAAAAGGTAGAGGAGAAAGAGCCTGAAAAAGCTGGTTGGTTGTTGAAAAGGCCAGAAGCCCCCCACAGACACAGGCACAAAAAAAAGCCAGCCCCCCTCCCCCCAGCTGACTGGGCGGTGAAGGAGTTTATGCAAATGAGCTCTGCCCCAGCTCTCCCTCTCTGCCACTCTCTCTTCACAGCCTCTCCCTTCAAATTTGTGTCTGTGCAGCGGGGGCAGGAAACACCTGACTGAGGCTCCCTTTGGGGTAGACTAGAAAGGGGAGGCAGCAGAGGCCTTCCAGCTTCTCATTCCCTCTTACATGGGAAGAGCTGTAGGACATACAGTGATGGAGGCACCCAGACCTACAAATGGTCCCATATTCTTTTTTTAAAAAAATATATTGTATTGATTTTTTACAGAGAGGAAGGGAGAAGGATAGAGTTAGAAACATCGATGAGAGAGAAACATCGATCAGCTGCCTCCTGCACACTACCTACTGGGGATGTGCCCACAACCAAGGTACATGCCCTTGACCGGAATCAAACCTGGGACCCTTGAGTCCGCAGGCCGACGCTCTATCCACTGAGCCAAACCGGTTAGGGCAAGGTCCCATATTCTTAAATGTGCCCTATCCTCATTGTTTATCTCTATTTGCCATAAATTTCATTTTTTTTTAACTCAAAAGTAATCAAATGTCATTAGAAGGCTATTGGATATAAAATAGTAGAGCTTCTACATGTTAAACTTTTAGGTAGGACAAATTCAGGCAATTCTTAAAATCAAGGGATGAGCCACAAAAGAGGTCCCTTTTGCCTGGCCGGCATGGCTCAGTAGTTCAGTGTTGACCTTTGAACCAGAAGGTGACGGTTTGATTCTGGGTTGGGGCACATGCCCGGGTTGCAGGCTCAATCTCTAGAGTGGGGCGTGCAGGAGGCAGCGGATCAATGATTCTCTCTTATCATTGATGTTTCTATCTCTCTCTTCCTCTTCCTTCCTCTCTGAAATCAATCAAAATATCTTCTTAAAAAAGAGGTCCCTTTTTATTGAAAGGTAGGGAAAAGCCACAGACCCTGGGGGCCACAAAATCCTCCTATAATACATATTTTTAGAATGCTATTTTGATACACCTGATCTAGCCAAAAGCAGAATGGGAGAGGGAGAGAGGGGGAGGAGAGGAGAGGGAAAGTTAAAAAGAGAGGAAGAAAAGTATACACCTTAAATATGCTACTTTAAAGGACAAACTCCAATAAGATAAGCTTTATTAGGTTTGTATAATATAATAGTTTGTTATTGTAGATTTTTCTGATTAGCTCTGACTGACACGAATATTAAATGTGAATGCTGCTGGGAACTTCCAGAAGCTGCTCTGGCAGCACAGTTGGCACAGGTGGTCAGGGAGCATTGTGGGTAGGAATGGGGAGGTGGCCTCAATTTTCATATTTTACCTACACTTTCTGCAAAGAGGATAATCCACATATGGAGAACAGAAAGTTAGGTAGAAAAGGTTATTCATCAGGGGATCCAGACAAACAGGAGCACAGAAAAAGAACACAGACAGATAAGAACAGAGCTGATCTGCAGAGAGATTTATGTTACCTACGGTAAAATTGTTAGATTTTTTGTTTAGAGAAATAAACTAAAATTTTGATAAAATTCTGCGAAGTTTTTGTCTGCAATAGAAAAACGATAAAGTTCTTAGCATATTTGAAGTTCCATCAGTAATCCTACATACAGGGCTATGGTAGGTTCCAGACTAATTCTCCCCACATCTGCCCTCAAAAGTAAGCTGTTGGTGCCTTTATTTTCCGGTAGATAACTCTGAACTCAGATTAACAACAACCCTTGAGGAAGTCTTACTTCATGGAGCTCAGGGAATTCAGAGATCAGGCATAGGTCTGAAACCCTGGCCCTTCATCACGTGACACTCTGGTAATTATCACCATTTCACTGGACTGCTCTCATGTAAACACACAAGAAATGAAGACTAATTAAGTGCCAGTGTAATCCAGCATTCGTAAAAGATGTTGGTCCTTCTCTTGGGATGAATTTTAAATGTATTTGAGTGCCAGTTCTAGAAATGAAAGTATTTCACTGCAATTGAGAACAAATCCCTTACAAGAGGCCCCCTGACGGCCCCCTAGTGGCCCCGTTAATGTGCTCTCATCCTGAACGGATGGGCCATGGGAAGCTCTGAGGGTAGATGATTGCCTAAGGCCCACGCAGTCATCTGCGTTTCTGCAGGGATGGATAATAAGGATTTCTAAACACCGGTGGTTCTGTGATCTCAACACCTGTCCCTGAGGGACTGGCCTGAGATGGCTGACTCATTACACACACCTGTCACACGGGCAGATCGTTCCCTCCTGATCACTCCATTAAGCAGTTCTGGGCCGTGGCTGAGCATGTTTGCATCAACAAGTGCCACGTCAGAGAACACAATCATAACTCAGGAGCCTTGTGGATAAGGCATTGGGAAGGTTTTATCCACTGACAAGGACAATGTAACAGTTTATTGGAGATTGTGCAGAGGTAATTCCTTTATAATTTAGAAGATGTCTCTGCTAGATTTACCTATTTAATATATATATGTTTTATAAGTTTATATATATATATATATATATTTATAAGTTTATATATATATATATATGTTTTATAAGTTTCCAAAATGTGTAATGGGCTAGTATTTTCAACACTGTTATTTGTTGCTTACTACAGAATGGAGCCCACTGGCTCACCTATGCATGTAATATATTTATAATTTACAACAATAACTTATCTCAAGCCCATATAGAGCAAGAAAGTCTGTGTAATTATGTGGGTATATTTACTGGCTATTAAAAGAAAAGTATAAAGTCCTTCTTTGGCACTGAAATTCTTGTTTACCACTTTTCAGGGTTGCTGATGGGTTTTACACCTGCACATTTTGAACGAGAAAGCTATGGGGGAATTATCTTTGGTGAGAAGGTACAGATGCAGACATAATGAATGGTAGCAGATGACCCTTCAAAAACCACCCACCTATTAATGTAAAGACTCATTTGGCAATGCACTGATGTCCTGTTATTTGCATATGTGCCTGTTTTTCCTTTTAAGTGCAGTACCAGAATTGCTTCTAATGGGGAGAATTTTTAAAGCAGAGACAACAAATCAGTGTGTTCGTTCCACAAACATTTACTAAGTGCCTACTGTGTGTCAGGCACTGCAGTGTATGCTAAACTAAGAACAAATGGATAATTCCAGTCTTAGTGAGAAGAGGCAAGATGATTCAATAAACCTGATGAGAAATGGATGGGCTTATTGTAAAGAGACTTAAGACAATATTCTCCAGTAGACAATCAAAGGCTTACCTCTGGGTATTGAAAAACATGAGGTGAATATGAGCTATTGATATCCAAACCAGCTGCCTCCTTATTCAGATAATTAGAGATAAACCATGTTGTAAATGATCAGAGAATAATTACTGAACACTCTACAGCTCTTAGGCAGCAGTTACTTAATAGGTAAGAGTGTACACTATGGTATTAGCAATACATCATTTCCTCCTCAATTGCCCAAAAATGAAATATGTGCACATAAAGTGTGGTCAAATAGCTAATGTCTATATCTGGGTTAAATAAGTAAGCCATTCACAAGCAGTGGGCCTTCTCATCCTTCTGCTTAGATGGAATTTGTTAGCCCAATAAAGAGTTGAGGTTGACTCCCAGGTACCAACTGTAAGACTTGTAAGATTTAATATATCCATACAGCACAAAACCATTTTGATTTTTACATATATATATAATCTAGTCAATCCTGTATGCATAAAGGTTTTCACACAATGTTCCTGAGTCTCTGTGTGGTGCCTTGAGAAACCCTGTGTGGGGGAGGGGAAAGGGTCCTGACACAGGCCTGCCTCTTTCTTCCCCCACAGATGGCTCCATCCCAGGCCACCAGTGGGAGGAAAGACTGTATCACTGGTGGCCATGTGCCTCACTGAAATCCACAACCGGGTTCTTTTGTCTGAACTGACCTTGAGGGTGGCTTTCTGGTCCTCAAACTTAGGGGTTCCCGTGATAAAGCTATATGTCATTTAAAGCCCCACTCTACATTTTTCTAGTATTAAAGTATGCAGAAGACAAATGTATTTTGAAAATGTCAATAATCATTCTGCTTCTGAATTTACTTAGAACTCAGTTTAAAGGAGAGTGAACTCATTTGGTTTTACATGTAAAAATCTAACAGCTATTTGTAGATTCTGCAGCCTAACAGGGAAGAAACATTCCCCTTGACATTACTCAAGGTATTTACATATGTTTTCACGTGACTTTGGGCTATTGCTATATTATAGGAAGCTGTTAGCATTTTACTCACATGCAGAAACCAGAAACCTGAAAACAAAATTAATTTTAATTTGAAAATATGAAAATAAAAATGTACATTGACAAAAGTAAAAATCCAAATGAGAATGTGGTTAAAAAAATGAGACTTACCCATTGACTACCAAACTGGATCATGTCATGGGGAAAAAAAGACGATGGAGAACATAGGGAAGAGTAAAGAAATGATGAAAAAGTAATTACAATGGGGGAAAAAGCAACAAAATGTCAACATAAACAGATAATATAAGAAAAAACAACCATTTTCACTCAATCATGACTCTCAACAAAAACCAATCATGGGATAAGATAATATATTTCTGAATGTAGACAAACAAATAAACATAAAATTAAAACAATGGGCTATTTATTAAAGAGAATAAAGCCTAATTTTCAAGTATATCTCAACTTGGTCTTTAAAAAAAAAGAATTTTTGTGTAAATAAAGTATTTCATATGCTATTTTCTGTAGCTTGTTTTTTGGATGCCAACTTTGTATATGCTAGATTTGTATAAACAAAGCAGGTAGCTTTCTCATTTGCTTGTGAAAAGTAAGCTTTATGTAAATACACAACACCTAAGTTGTTAAAAGGTATATCTGAAATTCAATGGCTATTTGTAAAATGGTAGGCAGTCTTCATGTAAAAAAGAAGCTGACAGAAGCAAAGGATAAAGGGCATTCCATATCAGAAAACACCAAAAATTTGCATTGGAGAACTTGGTCTTTTTAATCTAATCAAGTGGATGAATTTTGGAGGCAGAGTTGTCCGTTGCCAGGGCACCCGTGCCACATTTCCACATGTGACACTCAACCCACTCACCTCTTGTCCTCCGTCCAGGGCACAGAGTTTGGTGCTTTGCTTTTTGGCATCAACTAACACATTAAACATGGTACACACAGAAGCGGGAATGCGCAAGTCAGTGGTTTTGTTTGCCTTTTGCAGCTTGAGTTCAAATGCAGCTCTTGTTCTATTCATTAAAACATGAATTCAGAGTAAGACATTCTGACACATGTCCGACCTGTTTTGTAAAAGTGAAATCAACACTACGAGATGCTAATTTAAAACATGCAAATAAGGAGTGTGGCAGTGCTTGGGAGCAGGGGGTGGGATGGCCTTCTTTTCAGGTGTCTCATTTTATATTAAACATAGCTTTTTCAGTCACTCAGACAATATCTCTACCCACAGGAAGCAATTTTCCACATCTAATGTATCACTTTTAATGGAACAACCTCACAGTTTCACTTAACTACCTGAATTAATATCCAAGTAGAAAAATCACTTGCTTCTCCGCATTAGAGCAGAACAAACCCTCCATGTGAAGATTTATTGCCAAGTCAAAAGACAAGTCTGGAAAACTCTAAAACATCATAATTAATAGTTCAACACAGAATGTGTAATTCTTTTACGTCCTCTAGGTTCTCTTTCAAATACCCAAAGTTGCAGTTAGGTTTTTGAAAGAAACTCAATAACAGGCAATTTGGAATTGGTCTTGATAAGTATCAAAAGAGCATCTACTGATTTGAAACATTAGAATCACAGATGATGAACATGATTTTCTTAAAATACATTAAATTATCTAATCCATGCCTAGCCTTGGAAGGCCATCATTATTCTAATGACTGAACTTGTCTTGCTTTAAAGAATTCAGGATTATTCAATTGCTCCAACCAGCATTTGTTATGCCACTATTGTTCTTGTTCATATTATGAACACAGACAATGAAAAAATAGTGCTTGGCTAATTAGGATGCAACGCTGATTTTGTAAGAACAATTAAACATGAAAGCATGTTTGGAAGAATCCAAAGCCACATAACTTGTTTCTGGTTAAGTATTGAAGAATGAGAATGGATACTTGGAACTCACCTGATAGGGATAGGGAAGACCAGAAAACACAAGTGATGGCGCTGATCATAATTAGAATTTGCCAGGCCATTTCATGGCGCACACAGTACATAACAGAAAAAGTACTTAACAGACCTTTTCCATATGTCTCGGGGACTACCGCCTTGGGAATTTATATTGCCTTGGGAATTTAAAGCACAGTATTCCAAGACAGGGAACAATAAACACAAGAGAAATGATTAATGTGGTATGGGTGCTACTGATGAGCGCAATGGTTGGGAGAACTAAAAAAACTACCAGGCCAAGTTTATGAACTACATGGGTCCCCAGAATTTAGGTCAGAGAACCTCATGTCCAATAAATTTTGGAAGAGTATTACATATTGAAATCGTTCTTGTGACACTGATATGACAAATATTTATTTGGTGATAAGTGGTATTTTGGGTGCTGGCATATTAAGCAGCAACTAGGAAATGTATGTCTACCTTTTGACACAGGCCTCTATCATATCACTGGCCATTAGTTTAAGTCTTTGCTCTAAGTGGTGGGCAAATTCTTGTTCTGGCCAGTGTAGGTCAAGGACAAACATTTGAAGTGCATCGAGTTTCCAAAAAAGGTCTTCAGATGTTGCTGAGCCATTGCTAGAAGAAAAAGGAAAAATGGACATCATGAACCTCCACTGTTAGCTCTGGGGTCACTAAAATATTGTTTTTGCCTCTTTGTATCAATTTCCCTCAGTGAAAAAATACCACATAAAATTTCTAATACAAATATTTTCTTTGTTCAACCTTCTAATTTTCCCTTTTCACTTCTCAATGAATAAGGCCAGGCAAAGAGAACTAATTATACATAATAACCATAGTAAGGTTTCTTAAGAAGGGATAAAATGGATAAGGATACTTTATTAAGGAAATTAAATTGTGTACATAAGAACAAACATCTTAAATGTTCTTTACTAATCTCTAGGAAAAAGATCAAATATATAAATATATCCTTCTAGAAATTCCGAAAAATATGTTTTAGGCAAGAAAATCAATATGATAGCAACTACTAGCTTTATTCTTCTACTCATTGGTATGTGTTTCTGTCATCAAGATGGATGGCTTCTGTCTGTCTACAGGCGGGTAGCCCCTAAACTTTTCAATTACAGGTAAAGGTGAAACAGGTACTGGAAATGAAATAACAGGTCGGGTAGGGAAGCAAATCTTATACTCGAAATGCTTTGTGCCTTTTCTAGCTCATAATTAAACCTAACAGTATCAGATATGGTTTACCACATTCAGTGTGGGCTAAAGTTGGAGCAAGTCATTTCAAGTCATTACCTCTATCTAACTTGGAGCCAATATCTAGTATGCATTCATTACTATAGTGCAATTATATTTTCAGTGCATGTATGAAGATAATTTGTACCAGAGTATATATACTACTGGGGCTATTACTTTCCATTATGCACATAGATAGCCTACTAGGGAAACAAACGTTTTGAAGGTAAAATATTCCTATATTAAAACAAATTGAAACTTGGTGTTAAAAGAGAACAAAAGTAAAAAAAGCAGCTATGTGATTCATTTATCTTCAGCGTTCCAATAATTATTTAACATATACTAATCTAAAAATGTATATTTTTAGTTTGTAAAAGAAAATAAGAAAGTAAAATAAAACTCATTCATCACAAGGGAATAGTGGAAAACTTTTAGAAAAGACTGGAGGCCTGGTGCATGAAATTCATGCACAGTGTGTGTGTGTGTGTGTGTGTGTGTGTGTGTGTGGTGTGGGTCCCTCAGCCCAGTCTGCACCCTCTGGAAATCCGGGGGCCTTCGGACATCCCTCTTGTAATCCAGGACTGCTGGCCCCTAAAAGCTCGCCTGCCTGCCTGATCCCCCCTAACCACTCACCTGCCTGCCTGGTTGCCCCTAACCACCTCTGCCTGCCTGCCTGATCATCCCTAACCCCTCTGCCTGCCTGCCCGATTGCCCCTAACTGCCTCTGTCTGCCTGATTGCCCCTAACCGCCTCTGCCTGACTGATTGCCCTTAACCACTCTGCCTGCCTCCCTGATCGCCCCTAACTGCTTGCTGGGGGCCGGCCGGCCGAGGTGAGAGGCTGTGGTCATTCTGGTCTCTGGTCATTCTGCCGTTTCGGTCGCTGGGCTTTTATTACATAGGATAACATTATTTTAGATAACTATATCTTAATTAGCCAGCTTTAAAAAATCACTTCTACTCTACTCCCCCATTTTCTCTCTCCACAATCCCACCCCAAGCCTCGGCATCTTAGCTCCATCACCAATCTCCTTTGCTCTCCTCCTCCCATTCTCCCAATAATTCCTCATGATCTCCTTGTCTGCCAGGTTGTCCTCAGAGTTAAATTCTACAGGGACCAATCACAGCAAAGCACTGAGATGACCCATCACACTTTATTCACTAACTATCTCCTAACTTTAGGTGCCCCAAAAGTATCATTAAACAAACAAAAGAACCAGAACAACACCATGCTGATACTGCTGTGAAAAATATTTGAAAAAAGACTATATTTACTTCTCCTTTTTGCCACAGATATAATAAGAGAAAAAAATGACCAAGCAACCCCCGCCCCCTTATAGTGTAATATTTGGTAGATTAGAGGACCTATGTTTTAAGTGTAGTTCAATATAATTGGCTAAGAAGCAAATCGACTCCTTATAATTTGTTACTTAGGAGAAAGATTAGTAGCTATTTGAAACACACATGCATTCTTTAACAGCATACCAAAACAGCAATAGCAAAAAATCATAATCAAAACAAAATCCCAAATAGAAAAGGTAGTATTCTATTAAAATAGACTTCCTCATTATATGTAACAATTAAATCTTTATAGAGAATATGGATATATGTTTCTTCTGTTCTTTAAGGCTATGGTATGATTCTGAACAATACATGTGCTTAATTGGGAATGTAATTAAGAAAAAAAGTGTTTGCTATAATTAAATAGATGAAAAAAATGTAAATAGGTTTGCTCTCAAGCTGGTGTAGATAACCTGCCATTTTCCCCAGAACTTTTTCATTCTAAAATTATTTCTAATGAGTGACTTATTCCTAAAAGTATTATTAACAAGATTAAATAATTTACATATGAATAACAGACTCAGGCAATTTCCTAAAAAATGCCAGCAGGAAACTTACCTTACTAGTATTCAGTTTCAGAGCCCAAACACCCAGAATGAGGATGTTATATTCAGGGAGAGATGTGGGGAAGCACCGCATAAGGTGATTTATACATTAGTAGACAGGGATATATTTTTCAAACCCATTGCTCTTTGATATTACTCATCTTCCCTTAATCAGTAATTATAGTCTTAATTCCTTATACATGTGAAATGGAATTTTTTTTTGCTATTTACTGTTTTCTAGCAAAAATTCAAAAAACTAATTGCAATGACATGTTCATCGTAGCATTATTTATAATATTCAAGATTTGGGAGCAGCCAAGTGCCCATCAGCAGATGAACGGATAAAAAAGCTGTGGTACCTTTACATGATGGACTACTACTCAGCCTTAAAAAAGAAGGAAATCTTACCCTTTGTGACAGCATGGATGGACCTGGATAGCATTACGCTAAGTGAAACAAGCCAGTCAGAGAAAGACAAGTACCAGATGATTTCACTCAACTGTGGAATCTAACAAACAAAATTAACTAACAAGCAAAATAGAGATAGACTCATAGATGGAGAGCAGGCTGACAGCTGTTGGTGGTGGGGGGTTGGTAGGCTGTTTGTGTCGGGGTGGAGAGATTGAGAAAAAAAGAGAGAAAACTCATGGACTCGGACAACAGTGTGGTGATTGCCGGGGGAGATGGGGGTAGGGGAGGTGGAGGAGGGTATGGAGTGATAAATGGTGATGGAAGGAGACTTGATTTGGGGTGGTGAATATACAATACAGGGTACAGATGATGTGTCGTGGAACTGTGCACCTAAAACCTGTGTAATTTTGTTAAGTGTCACCCCAATAAATTCAGTAAAAAGGAAAAAAAAACCTGAATATTTTCTGCCACTTTAAATTTTTTTAAAAAAAAGGAAAAGGAAAAAAGACATGTGTGGAAAAACTGGTAAAATACAAATAAATTCTGTAATTCATTAATAGTAATTTAGTTGTAAGGTACATATCTTCATTTTGATAGCTGTTCTATGATTATGTAAGACATATATTAGAGAAGCTGGGTGAAGGGTATTTGGGAACTCAATGGAATACAACTCTCTGTAAGTCTAAAAACAGTGAAGTTTATAAGAATATGATGAGCACATCCTGGAATTCCTAGCACAGGAGGAATGGAACACCAGATAAAATCAACGTACACTCACTGGATATTGGGAGAAATTTCCAAAAGTTCAGAGAACAGACAGACAAGATCTCACATCCGGAGATCCTGAAGGGAAAGTGATTCAAGAGAAAAAGTGGACTCTAATAAAAATAACCATATGAGATAAGTAAATAAATTACTTTCCAGGCAAAGTTAGAAAAACTTAATTGCAATGACATCACAACATTATGAGTAATTCTGACACTTTGACAAAGAGCCTAATGTTGATCATCTTGGCAGGTAAAGATAATGGTCATTAACTTAAAACATTTTTTATTTGCCCAGAATGATGAAAGTACAAGCACTTAATTTACAAAGCCACAATTTGTCATGATTTCTGTCTTGAATCGCAGGTCACCTTAAAAAGGAGCTCCCAAGAATGAGATGCAGGGTTTACACATATCTCAAAACTAATAAAATAGTGATAACAACAACAACAAAACTCTTAAATTTCATAAGGTAATGTCCACAATAGCATTCTTGGTTAAAATCAAGATTGTTATACAGATGATAAATAAGGATGCAAAAAAGTTAAATTATTAAACAGTGTAAAGTAGTGCAACATTTCACAAACTTATGAAGGTCCATTATACTTCCTAGGTAACTCCTGAGCACACATAGACACACTATAATGGCCCAAAACATTTGCCTATAAGAGTAAGATTCACATGTAACCTAATATCCTAGTAAATACTATGAGTACAGTGATGATATTTATTTAACTTGCAGAAATATTGCCAAACCATTTTGCAAGGTTGTTCTCTTTCTTGGTCTTTTCTCGATTGGATGCAGACTAGACTGGGACTACATTTGACAGGTGATGGTAGTGTAGGTAGAAAGGATGCTAACCAAGCTCTTAACCAGTATATTCTCTGGAAGCAGAAGAATGATAAGTGAGGGCTCTGAAGTCAGGCAAACCAGGGTTCAAATCTTACCTCTATCACTTCCTTATTGTGAGATATTGGGCACATTTTACTTCTTAACTTCTTTATGACTTAGTTTCCTTAATTGTAAAGTGGGGGTAATGACATTTACTTCACAGGGTTGTTATAAGGCTTAGACGCAATCAATAATTTGGCACTGTACCTGGAACATAAATTCTCAATAAATTGTAGCTATTTTTCTCCTGATTATTTACTTGCTAGCTGACTTCAGATGACATCTTGGGTCAAGTATGGGCTATTAATGGGTTCATTTGAATACATACTTTTGATAACTATACTGTTAAGGATAATAATGATGATGATTGATGATAGTAGTAATAACTATAGTAATAACAATCATAATGTAGAATAGCAGTAGTTATCATTTGTTGAGAAATTAGGATGTGCTAAGTGCTTTGCATAGCTTTTTAAAAATCCTCACAAGAATGTCTTGAAATCAGGTGTCATGTCCAGTTGAGAGTTTAGGGAACTGCAGCTAAGCAAGACTTAAGAATTAATAAACTAGGGTCTAAATCCAGGGCTCATCGATTTGAAAGTCTGGGTCCTTTTCACTTTTATGACTCTTAGTTACTGAATCTACAGTAGGTAGGCTAGTCACAACATGGAGTTAATAAATATGGTTTTTAATGATATAAAGATCATTTAAAAATAACAAGACGCATCAGCTGATGTATGAAGGGACAAAAGAAGACCTTGCTGGTGTAGGGAAATAAAGGACAATGCCTTCTCTGCAATTAGCAAAACTGTTCCTTCAAAGGTGAGACTAAGATAAAAAGAGAAAACGATTATATTCTCGAAACTGTTCTTACAATGGTTTTCTACACGCACAAGAGAAGTCATGTGGGCAGTAACAACGCTGGAGCCAGGTAAGGATGCAGACATACTGTTTGCCACACTGATGGCCTGAAATTGGAGAACTCAGGTTATATCACTTAGGCCAGAATCTACAACCTGAGTCACAAAATGACCCTTGCCCCACAGATTACATATAAACTACATCAAACCAGTGAGTATTTAAAAAAATCTATATCATTTATCATCCATGTGCTAAGCTTAGATTGATAGCTTAAAAAAACGAAAACAAAGCCAAAACATAGTATTCCTCAACCAACGATGATAAATGCCATGCAATCTAAACACATCTGCACAGAACGCAGCCCAGGCCATGCACTAGCTAACACAGCGCCAGGAAATAAGTGAGGAATACACACGTGGACTCATTTAAAGGAGCCATCCACGAAGGAGTAGAAAAGCTAGGAATCTGTGGAAGATTAAGAGGCAGACTTGGAACTTTTGGAAGAGCTACATTGGGAAGACTGTTGGCGATATTCCTGTAAAGAAACAAACAATGGGGGAAGGGACCACCATAAGCAATAACTACAGATGGCCATATGGAAAGTCATAAGGTCAGAACAGAAGAGGCAGATGCTGTATGGGCACTAGGCAAGATACCTACTTGACAGGCTGCCATGTCTCTTGCTCAAAACCTCTGTGAATTGACTGGGCGATGGAGGACTCCATGAGATCGACGTAGCGAACAACCAAGGGCACAAAGATTTCTTGCAAGTGTTTGTGAAACGTTCCATTACACAAAAGTGCTGAAATAGTCAAGCAGAAACAGTGTTTATCAGAGAGAGAACATCAGGCATTTGGAAAATATGGGGGGGAAACTTTTCCTGAAAGAGTCGGACACAGAAGAACTGATAAAATATAGATGATAATGTATCTTGCTCCTCCTACTGAATATCATGTCTTGAAAAACTGATCAAGAAGTATAATTGACCTTCTAAATATGGATCTCAAAAGCACAAATAGATTATATTTCTATGAAATGTTCCTGGAAGTGGTATGTCTTTACTTTCTAAGAGGTTTAACACATGAGGCATATGACCACTTGCTAGTGAATCTCTATGCCAGGGAGCTGCTGGGTCCCCTTCAGGTCTGGACACATGTAAATACAGCAATTAAACCGTTACAATCCTGGTACTATGTTGTGTGTTACTGAAGAGCGAAACCCCTTTAACTCTAAGAGCTAAGCTTGACTGCTTCTAAGAGAAATACTTGTTAAATTCACTAAGAGGGTGACGGTGGCCTTGGGAATGTCTCTTCTGATTCATGATCTTATTAGTTATCTGTGGATTTTCTTTTTAGTCATCTTGTTTTCCATTTGTGTCTTTAAAAACAGTCAGCACAACACATCACATGCACTTTTCATTTGCCCATTTGTCTTTAATGAATTGGGCATAAAACATTCTACTTAAAGCAGCTGTAGAAGCCTTAGAGTTTACGCAAGGTGTAAACTCATTAGAACATACATCAGTGCTATAGACTGAATGTTTCTGTCACCCGCACCCAATGTGATGGTATTAGGAGATGGGGCCTTTGGAGGGTGACTAGGTCATGAGGGCAGAACCCAAAAAAGAGATTATTGTCTTTATAAAGGAGATCCTGGGAAGACCCCTGACCCTTTCATGATGTGAGCACATAGCAAGAAATGGCTGTCTATGAAGCAGGCTCTTATCAGACACCTAATTTACCTGTACCATGATCTTGGACATCCTAGCCTCCAGAACTATGAGAAATAAATTTTTCTTGTTTTAAGCCACCCATACTATGGTAGTCTGTTATAACAGCCCAAACAGACTAAGACAGTCAGTAAGTGCCTACACTGCACCATGACAGAATAGAGAATCTGTAAAAAAAAATACTAAGTAATACTAAGTTATATTTATAAAGAATTTTTCAATGATGGTACACGTGATTTTTTTCATGTGAACACATCCTAAACCCAGTTGTGATTTTTAAAAATAGCCCTCAAAGTGAGAACATGTTCATTTAAAAAATGTTCTCTGTTTAGGAAAGGCATTTTTTAAGCAATGGTATTTTAATTGCAACTAAATGACAAAGGAATCATCCATGGAAAATTTGGAGGGAAGGTTTCCAAGTAGAGGGAGTAGCTAGCACAAGAGTTTTAGGGAGGGATAGCTGGTGTTCTGCAAAGAAGAAGTGTGGCAGGAGTAGAGTGAGGGAGAGGGGAGAAGAGTCCAAGGTGATGTCTATATTATGGGACATGGTGAGAAGTATGAGTTTTATTGGGTGCAATGGGAAGCATTATTGTTTTTTTATTATTACTAAGTAGAGGAGCGACATGATATAATCTCTCTGGCTCCTGAGTGAAAAATGGAGTATGTAGGTGGCCAAGGGTGGAAGCAGAGAAGGTGGTTGGTGCTCAGTTCTTTACCACACTAGACCAGGTAAAAGATGATGAAGGTGATGGTGGTAGTGATTATGGTGCCTTGGATTAGAGTGAAGTGGTAGAAGATGAGGAAAAGTCCCTCAGTAATTTCATTCACAGATTTGAATAGCTGTATATGCTTGTAGTTACAAAATCTAATTACTAGCAACTCTAATAGTATTGTCTTATACAATACTCATATTTTGACAATATCTCATATAATCTTTTTCAGGGCAACAATACCCTGAAAACTAGTTGTTGTTTTTTTTTTATTTGGGCAAAAATGTGACACTGTGGTGGAATGAATATGAAAATTCCTACTATATACTATTTTAATTGATTCTGAAATTTATCAGAGTCTGGAAAACTATAGAAACACAAAAGTGGAGTAGGAAGTAATTCTAAATACAGAAGAATTACAACAATGATTTTTTTCCTCTCTCTAGCTGATATGGGTTAGTATTTCTTTAAATGTTTTTATTAATTTTAGAGAAAGGGAGAGAGAGATAGAAACATTGATGAGAAACATTGATCAGCTGCCTCCTGCATGCTCCCTACTGGGTATTGAGCCTACAACCCAGGCATGTGCCCGGGAATTATACAAGTGACCTCTTGGTCCATGAGCCAACTTTCAACCATTGAGCAATACCAGTTGGGTGATATGGTTTAGTATTTTTTTGTGGCTAAATAATCTTTTCTGGCTTATCTATATGCTAAAAGGTTTCCTATTAAAGTGGGAATAATAATTATATTTAAAGATAAAAGTCTTATTTGGAAGACTAATGTTATCTTAATGATATTTTCATTAGCATTGAAAGAGGCTTTATTTATTCCTGGAGATCCAATCATAGAGCTAGAAGGTACTATGGGTCATGTAATTTAGTTCCTTTTACCAAATGTCATGAGAATAGGATGCTGAACACTAAGGATGAAAGATTCTCACTCAGACCATCTAAATAACTGTGGTGAGCAAATTAAAAAATACACCCAAATCTGAATTTATTAGATTTTTACCTAACAACTCTCTTTTTTTACTACTTCAAGACCAAAACACATGCTTATGTAATAAATAATTACATCTACAAATAAGTTCAAATGCTACTTTATTATACATTTAGAGATTAGCTATTAAGTCATACTTAGGTTGTTAAAATGAAAAAGCACATAAGGAAAATCATATTTGGTTATTAAATGTTATAAAGATTCTAAGATTAAGTAACAGTTGACTCAAATGTATTTCTAGCAACATCTCTTTTATTAAACACTTGATAAACACTGAGTTTATTATCTTGTTAAATAAGTCTGCTTCTCTTCTTGTATTCCCATCAAGAGAGTAGATAGGATTCACTTGATCACTACACGAGCAACTTGGAAGTTGTTTCACAGGCCTTTATTTCCCTCCCTACATCTAATTAGTAATCAAGATCTGTGTATGTACATCCGGATTATCTTTTTAACGCTTTCCCTGCCTCTCTTTATCACTACTGCTATGGTACTAGTCCCGGCATTCTCATCTTTTGCCCTGATTATTGCAATAGCCTCTCCTAACTGGTCTTTAGGCTCCTCATTTTCCCTCTGCCAATTCATCTTCTTAAAATCTCAGAGGGACTTGCTAAAATATAAAACTAATAATCTCCCTCCTAAAGATTATAAGCCATCAATGGACCACCACGACCAACTCCAAGAGCCTTAGCATGGTTTGAAAGTCATCTTTGAGCTGTCTTAAAATGACCTCTCTGACTCAATTCTGTTGCCTGACCCCGTCTCCTGAAGTCCAACCATAATGATTTTCATGGTTCACTTCAAATATACAATTTCTCTTCCAAACCTTTCTTGAAATGTTGTCCCTTTGCCCAATTACCCCTTTCCCTCTTTACTCTCTACCCTGTACAGGCTTCCACTATGGTCCATGTTATACTTTTGCATTGCTTACATATCTCTTTCCCCCTACACGGGTGCAAGGTCCTTGAGGCAGGGACCATGTCTGTATTCTTAGTATCCAGCAAAGTCCTTCACTCAGAGCAAGTTTTCAAATGCTTGTTGAATGAATGACTTTTTAGATGCAATATTAAGATTACCACATTATTATTCAGGAGACTGCATAAGAACCTACTGAGGCTTATGTATCTCTTCATATTTTATATAGAACATATGGCATTAAATAATAATGTTATGAGAAATCCTATACTTGACCTATATTTCTAAGATCATAGTGCTAAAAATTCTACTGGATATGAATGTTGGCCACTTTGTCTATATATATATATATATATATATATATATATATATATATATATATATATGATTTCAGAGAGGAAAGGAGAGGGAGAGAGAGATAGAAACATCAATGATGAGAGAGAATCATTGATTAACTGCCTCCTACACAACCTACACTGGGGATCGAGACTGCAACCCAGACATGTGCCCTGACCAGGAATCAAACCGTGACCTCCTGGTTCGTAGGTCAACACTCATCCACTGAGCCATGCTGGCTGGCCTATGACTCTTATTTTAATAAAGGTAATAAAGGGAGAATTTTTCTCTGTTCTGTCATGATACTTGATAGCAAACTATTACATCCTATAAAATTAGGAAAAAATGGAGATTTCCTATATTTCCTAAGACCTGTCACAAATGTTGACTCTGGCCAAAAGGCTGCTCATGTTTCAGCATAATGTTCCTTTTTCTATTTAAAAAGTCAATTTATAAACCCATATTCCAAAGTTTTAGAAAACTGGCAATTGGCAGTAGTATTTATTTGGTAACTAGATTCAGGAAATGGGAGAAAGGAGGGAGGCGGAGATGGAGATAGTGAGAGGGAGAAGGAAAGAGAGGAAGAGGAGAAATATAAAGAAAATACACAGTGAGGGGGAAAGAAAAGATAAAAATCCAGTTTCAAATGGCAAGCCCACAGAAATGCATGCCACAGTGCACTTCTGTATGTAAATGTATGCTCCTTTTCTCAGTTGCCCATATGCCAGTTTGCAATCCACTCCTACCAGACAATGTCAAAAGCCCTCTTACTATGTAGCCCCAGGCATCAGAATGAGGCTTCTATCCTTTCCATATGGTTGAATAAAGATAGGCTATCATTTGGGGCTGCCACCTGCTTAATCAAGCCTGTACAAGGCACCTATTGCCACCGCTCATTGGAAGAGGCACGTTCTCAATACGACCTCATCCAAGGTTGCTTCTGACATTGCACCTGAGGTGAAGTAGAAAGGACTGCTCAGAAGGAATCTCAAATAGTGTTTGCAAGAAAATACGTGCAGGATCAGCATCTACTTTGGTGATAAAAATAATCAACAAAGATTGCATGTTTCAAAATATCACCTGGTCAGAAAATACTGAAGCATCATTGAC